CACAGTTATCTCCCAGTCGGTGCTCCCGGAATTGTCTCAGGACGACTGAACACTGTGGTGGCGAACATGAAATTGACAGTATTAAGACACTATAGGTCCTAGGACTGTTGACCTCTCGGCACCTTGATCTCTCCGTGGAAGTTTTTTGGGGCCGGGGTCGAAGTTGGTGCAGCTCAGGCAAGCTATGGAACTGACGGAAGGCATTCTGGGGATGTCGACTTTCTTAGCACCTTGATTCCTCCGCCAAGGATTCTTTGGTTCTGGGGTTGGAGTCGGTTCCTTCTAAAGATGCAAACTAACACAGCATAGCCATGAATTGGTACCGTAATGGTCAAATGGCTCCTATGTGACGACCACAATACTGTGGCGTGCGTTTTAGCCCTGCCGTCATCACCCTCTTTCTTCGGAAAGGAAGGCGGTGGCGGTAGGTAAAGGATCCCCTCTGGGACCGACGCGGCCCGAATTTGCCATGGGCCTTGGCGGAACCAGGCTATCTAAGTCTAACGCACGGATGATTTACTTTTCCAGCTCACATCAAACACCGATGGATGAATGCTTAATGGTAAGCGTTTCCAAATAATGGCGCTCGTTCAAAGGCCAAGGTGTAGAAAGTCGTGCTTAGTGTCTTCATGGCTGCAGAACGTAAATCGAGCAGTCTCGAACGACGCCTCCAGGATATCTGTCGCCCCCCTGGAATAAGTCAGACTTAGTGGCGTATAGATGGGTACACCACTCAACTTTTTCTTTCTATCAAGAAAGCAATATCATAATTATATGGAAGTCAAAAATAAAAACAACAGTAAAGTAAGGCAAAATGTGAATACTAAGGCTGAGAGAATAGCTAAGATTAGCAAAGGTCGAAGTGTCAGGATAGTCCTAGAGAGATGTAATGCTCAAAGAGAGTCAACAAAGACAGTTAGCAAATTTCGCGCTGTCAAAATAGCCCTGGAACGATGTGATAATCTGATAAAGCAATATGCACACCAACGAAAAGGGCAAGTGGCAAAAATAAACAAAAGGTACCATCGTGAAGCATAATCCTATAAAGATGTGATACACAAAGATGTGGACACACAAAGACAAAACACTCAAGTGGCATCATCCTCCAGCTTCAAGTCACTAGGAATTAGGACACTGCAGCTGAATACGGAGCGGTCAGCTACGATAACAGGTGAAGTGCGTCAGCTCATCGCCGAGAAACGACTTGATATCCTGTTATTGCAGGAACATATGCTCAGGAAGCAAGGTGATAGTCACACCTTTTATGAGCTAGGAACGGCGATGAAAGTTGCTGCAATGCGCTCGAAACGTCCATGAGCGTTGGTAGCGGTCAGCAATCCCCGATTGCAGATATTTGTCTCGCAGCTTAGTATGACCCACTGCGGGTGTGCGGAAGTGTAGACCTCTGACCTATCAATGTACATCGTGTCATGTTACTTTCAGTACAGCAACGGAATTGAGGATCACCTCGAGAAGGTGCTTCATTCCCTGAGGGGTGAGAGACTCATATTGGCGGTAGATACCAATATCGTCGCTCTGGGGTTCTCATGAGACTGACATGGCACTGGCGTCGGGAAAGATCTCCGATTGGCAGTTCGGATTTATGCCGGGCAAGTCGACGCAGGACACGATCGTGAAGATGCAACGAGCGGTCTCTGCCTCCGAAGGGAGGTACACCGTGGCGTTGCTCTTTGACATTTTCAATGCTTTTGACAACGTCTGGTGCCCCTTAGTGCTGCAAAGCTTAAAGTCGAGAGAATGTCCTAAGAATGTCTTCGAAGTCCTTCGAAGCTACTTCGACGAAAGACGAGTAAGCATCTCAATAGGTGACACAAAAGTATCAAAGTGGGCAACAAGAGGATGCCCGCAGGGTTCGGTGCTTGGGCCGATCTGCTGAAACTTAATGTTCGATGAACTGCTTAGGATCCTAGAGATACAGACTAAAAATCGCTTCGTAGCATACGCAGACGATCTTATTATATTGGTAAGCGGCAACTCCCGAAGGAAGATAGAAGCTGAAAGCCAAGTACTAGTAAACCAGACTGTTGAATGGTGTAAATCGGCCAAACTTTAAATCTCAGAGCAAAAGACTTGAAGCAATCTTGCTCAGAAGCGAAGAATTAAGAAGGACCCAAGTCGGTAGACAGGGAGGAGCACGATAGAAGGCCAAAGAACAGGAAAAGAAGAGTAGATTTCAAAAGTAGATCACCTACTGTTAGGATAGGTGAGTCAAAAATCAAATTCAAAGACTCGGTCAGGTACCTTGATGTTCACTTAGATAGAGGTATGCGAATCGAAACACATTGTAAGTACTTAAAGAGCAAAGTAGAGTCACTCTTCAATAAGTTTGGCAAGCTGACAAGATCCCAATGGGGTCTTAAATACAGAATGCTTTCTATAATCTACCGGAGTATTCATCCCGGTAGTCGCATATGCGGCTGCAGGGTGGACCGACCTGTGTACTGTAAAGGACAGAAAAGTTCTTAGAGCTGTGCAGCGCGAAGTGCTTATAGCACACACAAAAGCGCATATCGCACAGCGTCATGGGAGTCACTCTGCGTGGTAGCAGGACAAACTCCCATTGACCTACTCCTAGATGAGCGTAGAGCCCAATATGAGGTAAGAAAGGACAAGGATGTAGAGATAAATGGAACCGTAATTGGAAAAGATACGGAAGACGGAAAGAAAGTAATAAGGCGAGAAAGAATAAGGATGTGGCAAACTAGGTGGAAAACCTCAATAAAGAATCGAGTGACGTTCACCTTCTTTAGAAGCATACAAGAAAGGTTCCAGGCCAAATGGGTTTAACCCAACTACTGGTCCACGCAGATTTTAACTGGGCATGGTAACTTCCATGCAAAACTGTCACAGTTAGGACTAACAGAGAACAGCTCATGCAAATGTGGAGCTAAAGAGGACACAGTCTGGTACTTCATCTTAGAATGCCCAGAATTCGAAACACAAAGCAATTTAAGGAAAAATACGTTAACACTATTATTACAGAGTCAGGGCATGCGTCTGGGGACGAGGCGCAAATGAGTGGGCCTCCCCGTAGTTCCCCGGACGCAAGGTGCCTCGAGAACTTAGGACTCGAAATGTGTCGCGGCGAAACTGCTCATTCCTACAGAAAAGCCCTGCAGGCGCTACTGGGTTTTTCCACCACCCTTCTCGGGGCGGTCTTGCTAGATGATGGAATAGTAGTCCATGGCATATACCTTTATGGGTGAGGTGGCATGTTCGCTCCGTCCTTGGGACGGGGCCGATTAACAATAACTGTATAGTTAGGGGCTCTGCACAATAAAAGGAACAGAGAACAGAGAATAAGAATTTCAACCTATCAGAAATCATGTATTGTGAAATACACAGTTTCTGATAAGTTGAAATTCTTATTCTCTGTTCTTTCTTTTATTGTGCAAAGCTCTTTATACTGTGATCTAGTTCGGCCTCCTATTCTCTATACCCTATGGTTGGTACACATCCTTTATATTTGGTGAATAAATCATGGAGTTCCTTCAAACCGTTTGAGAATGATAGTTGTTTATGTCAGTGAAGATTTTTATGCGCGATTTTTATCAAACAAAGAATTTGTTTGAAATTTTACGTTACGAATGAAATTTCGTTTTGTGTGAAAGAAGTTGAAAATCTATTGACGATTTCGGCTACGTGCCATATCTACAGTTATCAACTCTGTTGAAAAAACGTAAACATCAGACAATTCATATCTACAGTGTATAGCGAGGAGCACAGACTCTTGCATAACGCATAACACATAATACATAAAAAAATGAATCAATTAAAGTCTTTTATTTCTTTCCTTTCCGTGAAAGAAAGGACTCTGATTGGTTGATTTTCTTATGCCTTATGTTTATATAAGAATTTGTTCTCCTCGCTTATATATGCATCAGTGAAAAGGAAAAACGCTTGTATGCCCACTGCATCTACTCATGATCGCACGTGGCACGTGAAGAAAACTTTTGAATTTTATACTTTTAACATAAGATTTAGTTTCAGCGACCCTCCTAACTCATTTTACTTTTTAAAATTTTCGACTTAGTTCACCTAATATGTTAAATCTATCCTTACCTTTAAGGAGTAGTTTTCACCCTTCAGAGTGGAACTTTGCCAATAAAAAAAAATACACGTCAAATATCACAGAAATTTCAAAGTTCTACAAATATGCAAAGTTTCATTAAAATCTGTGAGTGACACTTCTATATATTTACTTGTTAGACGTTTTATTTTTTTATTCGAAAACTACAACTCAAAATGTTATAAGACTTTTATTCCCTTTCCATGCCAATGTAGATCGTACATCATTTCTGAGATACCCTGTATGATTGGACTTTTTGGTTAATTACACCATGTTATCATGTTGAAATTCAGATTTCAGTAAATATTTTTTTTTCTTCTTACCATCTTATATAGTATATTACACAAACATAAAAAATTAATTTTAAATAATTATGAAAAGTATCTTGGCACCGCGCCGCCAGGCTTCCGAAGAAAGTACCCTGGCGTCGCCAGACCTCCGAAAAAAGTATCCTGACATCGCTAGATTTCGCCAGGGTATCGATCATGAAACTTTTTTTCTAGCATAAAAAGTGAAAAATTTTTCCAACTTCAATGGTTAAAATTTTCACTTTTCACTTTCCATCCTAGGGATAAAGTTTCATGATTGATATCCTGGGCTATATACTTAAATGTAATTGCAAGTCTCTTTTTAGGATCTCTAGAGGAATCCTCATTGAAGATCCGGACTAAAAAACAAAGACAGAATGATTCTTATGTCGATTTGTATTTCTGCTGGAAAGTTCCCTTTGTATGCGAAAAAGTAGATTAGTAAGATATTCCATAAAATATACAAAAATGTTGTAATGTTTAATATACTTCAAAATTGATCACATAAACGTAGGATGAAAAAAAAAAAAATAAGAAAATATATAGCTAATAGATGTAACATTTATTAATGGATAAATATACGAATATAATTCATAGCAGTACACTAGCCAAATTATAACTATAAAGCATAAATAGTTTAAATGTATAGATATATAGGTAGACTATAGCCGATAAATTTGCACTTTTTAAGTAACAGTTAAATATTTTACATTTATATTTATTGCATATGTTGACGCCTACGAGCAGCTCTCTGTTTATCAAAACGTAATTCCATTTCTTCGAGAACACGTGGAGTATAACGAACTACTAATTTTACAGAATTTTGAGCTTGCTTTAGTAACTCCACTGCCTTCTCATGATTTTCACCTTCGACGCACTAAAACAAATTATTTTCTTATGATAAAATGTATTTTCTAATAAATAAATAAAAAAGATAACATTTTTACCAACCACTCCATTAACAGATAAAAGCTGATCTCCACGTTTTAAACCACCATGCCTATCAGCAACACCACCAGGTATAATGCGAGATATGTAAATCGGCGAATTTTGTTCTTTACCTCCCATCACATTAAAACCAAGTCCTTCTTCCGTTTTAGGTAATTCGACTACACGTGGATGTGCATGACCTTCACTAGCTGCAAAAGCAGCAACAGTTGCTTTTGCTGTTGCAGATGCACGTACATCCTGTGATCCCTTTATAATAATTGTGAATTAATTATCAACAATTGTAATTATATGATTAGATTCCATTATATGTGTGTGATTGCGTTCCATTTAACGTTCATAACGAAGAAATTATTTCTTGTTATTTATCAAATTATTTCTTGTTATTTATCAAATGTTAAATAAGGGCAAACGATGCTCATGCATATGCGAGCATTAAGTGGAACGCAGCCTTAGTAATTATGAAAGAGACGGGTTTATTTTCACTGATTTTTATGAAATTATACTTATTTGACGCATTTTTGTACGAAATAAACGAATTTGGCAGAAAAATATTGCTCTGCTTCAAAATATTAAGCATTAAAGTTATTTTATTTTCTAAATTTTCTCTCGGGCATCAACGAGATACATTTATCCTAACGGGATTGCCTTTGAGTGTCCGATCTTCGGACCACAAATATGGCGAGAAGACACTATATCAAATTCATTACACTGGCTGCAGTCGATTTAGATACTTTCAGCGCTTTTCAATACTTCTTATTTTACATCTAATGAAGCTACTGTCAATCAAACTCGTAAAGAGTCCCTTTTTTCTTATTATATAATTCTAAGCTGCTTGTACAATTCACAACGGCCTTAAGCCTTCCAACAATACAACACAATTAAATTTTGTCAATAAACGATATGCGGGACGCTTGGGATCGAATCCGGAATGGAAAATTACAAGTCGAGCGGGTTACACACAACTACTCGACGCAAGCATTAACTCTTTTAGTACACACAAGTTTTTGGCAGTCTTACTATACATGATAGGTTTTTCGTATTCTGGATTAATTTTTATCACTTTTACAAGTATATAAAAATTATTAAGCAAGTTTTACATATATATTTTGACATTTTTAGGAAGTACAATATTTGTGAAGTTGTTACATTGTATATAAATTGTTATAACTAAATATAGCTAACAAAATGAGAAAAATCTTTTTTTTTTTCATAAAAAATGCAAAACTCTGAAATAAAAATGTTTAAAGGAAAAATATGTTTCAATATCTTAAAGTTGACTTTCCAAACTACAAAAGAAAAACTAGTTGAAGTCCAAAAAATTTAGTTACTTATACCCGTATTCATAGTCTTCCTTCTTCGAGGAATGAGGATTTCTTGTTCCTTATTTCATGTTTCATAAACATCCCTTGATCAAACAAAGAGCCTTTTATTAGCTTCCTTTTCTCAAGGAAGGTTACTAGTTTCCTTGAGGAGGAGGTACAGCCTTCATGATGAATCAAATTTAGTTCGTCACACCTTTATGTGGTCTTTTTATTCATCGATAATTATTTTCGATAATTTTTTTTTCAGAAATAAACTGCGTCAAAAGTATTCTCTCCTTCTTCGTATAATAATAAGCATTATGACGAATCCGATTGAAAGCACTTGATGCATATTAAAACCATTGAACACTGTATAAATATTTCGAATTATGAAATACATATTTTACCTAACAGTACAATAAAATATATTGAGTATTTTACAATTTAATCAATTTCCATGTTTATTTATAAACATTTACATTATTTTATGTATGTACGACAGTTTTAATGTGCAGTGAGTGCATCCAATCAAATTCGTTATTAGTTTTATTTTTGTTCATTATTATTGTTGCAAAATGCTTAATCAACTTTATTTAATTAACAATGTCTTTATAACCTTTATTATTCGTAATTCATTATATTAGAATTGCATATACTATATATTATGACATGCTGCCTTCACAGTAGGTTACTAAAATCCCTAAAATTCCTTCCTTCAGGCAGACTTGAAATCCATTTATGAAATAAGGAGACCTGGGAGAATCGAGGAATCCTTCATAGAGGCTTCCTCCATCCTTAAAATAAGGAAGGACTATGAATACGGGTGTTAGTACCTAAAAATGAAGTTTTTTTAATATACATGAATGACTATAAATTAAAGATAAACTTACATTTTAACAATGCATTTTATTATTGCTATTGTATTTAACAAATTTATAATTTATTAGGAAAATGTTCTTAATAACATTACATACAACATAATATACATAGGCTGCTGAAAATGTTTCTGCAAACAATATGAAAAAAAACATGTAAAATTCGGTAAATTTTATTGTTTTTCGAAGTATTCGCCTTTAAGAACGATACATTTTTGCATACGCTCGAACCAATTTTCGAAGCATTTTTTCCATTCTAAGGCTGTAATCTCAGAAATCAGTGTACGAAATGTTTCAACAGCTGCTTCAAGCGACTCAAATCGCTCACCATGCATCTTATTTTTAATAGAAACTATCTTTTTTGGGGAACAAAAAGAAGTCGTTAGGTGATAAATCAGGTGAATACGGACAATGAGTCATCAATTCGACATTATTAGTGGATAAAAAATCAACGGTTTGACGTGCTGTGCGACAGCTGGCGTTGTCATGATGAAGGAGGATGCGACGATTTCGGTTTGTTCTACGCAATTCATTTATGACTTCTGGCAAACAAATTGTTGTATACCAATCAGTATTTACAGTCCTTCGATCCTCTAAAGCCACGGTTGTCACATGTCCGGTATAACCGAAGAAACAAGCAATCATTTGCTTGACAGCACTGTGTGAACGAACTTTTGTTTGTTTCGGTTCATTTTGAAATACCCAAACAGTGGATTGTTATTTATTTTCGGGCTCATAAGAATAGATCCATGTTTCGTCCCCAGTAACGATGTTGTAGACCAAATTTGACCGACCTCGGTTGAATTTCTTGAGCATTTCTTTGCTCCATTTAACATGAGCCTGTTTTTGAGCTTCGGTCAAATTGTGTGGGATCCAACGACTGCAAAGTTTCCGTACGCTCAAGTGATCATGCAAAATCGTATGTATTGCTTTCATGTCAATGCCTAAGGATGCCTGAATCTCGCGGTATGTTATATGCCGGTCTCACTCAATCATTTCACGCACAGCATTAACATTAGTGGCAACAACAGACGTGGATGGACGACCTTCACGGAATTCATCACTAAGAAAGGTATGTCCACGCTGAAACTCGGCAAACCAATTATAAACAGTCCTATCCTATTGGATAATGCTTCATCCCCAAAAGCCAAATGGAAGTCGATCGATGCATTGTTTCAGAGTTAGATTACATTTGTAATCGTAAAAAATCATTGCCCGAAAATTTTCACACGAAATTTCCATTTTTTTACAAAATAACTTCTTTTAAAATATTATGCAAATAAAACTAGTTGGCTTTGGTACAAACTATCAATTGAATTATAGGTTAAAAACGTCTAATTTTATGGATATGATAATAGCAGAACGTTGGCGCCACTGGAAGTACTAGATTGCAGAAACTTTTCCAACAGCCTACGTATAATATTACGGACAACATTTAACACAAGGGTGCTAAAAACCATCGTGTTTATTAAGGGTTAATATATTCTAAGGTTGTTAAATTCTTTTTTTAATAATTCACAAAATATTCTCACAATACAAATAAGAATTAGTTAACAATATAATTGGAAACAAGACCGTTTATGTTAAATACATTACTTAGATACGAGGCGCCACTCCGGTCTAATTTCAGAAATGATAATTATGTGCCGATATGGTTGTCGGACTTTCAACGCAATGAATCTGAAATATTAATAATCCCCCCAAATTATATATATCGGTTATTGCGAAGAATGTTGCTAAGGTCTCGGTAGTCTAAAGGCTTAGGACGCTCGCACGAAATGCAAAAGATCCGGGTTCGAGTCCCAGCCGAGGCAACATTTTTCGCAATAAGTTTATTACAGTTTTTTAAGATTTTAGAAATTTGGGGGGATTATTAATATTTCAGATTGATTGCGTTGAAAGTTCAATAACCATATCGGCACGTAATTATCATTTCTGAAATTAATTCATTTAAATGAATATATAATATATAGTAGTTCAACATCTTAACATTTAGGCCGGAGTGGCGCTTCGTACCTAAGTAAAAAATTAGTTAAAAATAAAGAAAAAAATAAAAATTTTTTTTAGTTACAAAAAATGTACACTCTGTATACACACGAGTCATTTATCCAGAGAAACTTCGGAATTATTCTAATTAAAGGATACACACGAATTACTTAAGGTCGACAACGCACAAAACTTGTCTAGATGTCATATTTTCTTTAGGAATAGAAGAAAGACCTGTATACGGCCAAATGTTCTTAAGTATTTCAAAGAAAAGAAATGTGCAGGACACGAATGACCCAAAGGTGTATATTAAGGATTAAAGTTGACAAGTATTTAGGTTAAGAAATCTGTCACCTCAATGGCATAGACGGACGTGACAACATGTCAATGAGGTTAAAATAAGAGGTTAAAATAATTAATAATATTTTCTGCTTCAATTACACAAATTCTCTGCTTTAAACACAAATTCTGTTTTAAAAACAAATTATTTTCTATATAATTTTTGTTTTTACAGGAGAGAATTTGTTTTGGTTAGAGATAATTATACAGTTCAGCTTCTACAGTTAAAAAATTAATAATATAAGCTTATTCGACGCATGTTTGCATGAAACGAAAGAATCTGGCAGAAATAAGCGTTGCTCTGCCTCGCGAACCGAGATATCAAATGTTACAGTTTTTTTTCTTTTTTTCTTCGGAGTGTCCTTCGGGTGAGGGAAAGGAAAATGGCGCCTTCAAAAAATATTAAAGTTGACGACTATTGAAGTTAAGAAATCTGTCACATCGACTTAACCCTTAATCGGGCGCATCTCTAGGCCAAACGTTAAGGCTTAAACAATAGCACAGGAAACAAGGAATAGCAAGCTGTCAATCAGAACTCTGGAATATAATATCGAACTCACACCAGACCTCTGATTGAACGGCTCGTTATTCACTGTTGCCTGTGCCTATTGTGTTTAGCCTTTAAAGGTCCTCTACATAGAAGTCGTAGGAAACTGACCAATTCTAATCGAGTATTCTCCTTATATTTGATTGTGATTGATTGGTTCTCTATGACTTAAGACTTCACGACCGTCTACTTCTATGT